GCTCTGATAACCCTAAGGCAACTTACGCCCCTTGCCTTTAAAGTACCCTACCCCTATCTCCCTCATCTTCCATCAGCAACCCCTGCAGGATTTGTCCGACCACCTACACTATACGCTGCTTGGAACTACTGATGGCAGGGGGGCCCGTCCTTGGTCCCGGACAAAGATTGTACCGCAGTGGTGACCCCCCCCCCTGACCCCCTCCGGCAACTTCGGATGCCTTGGTACCGGATCTCAAGAGTTCGCCTGACTCGCCTGTCTTGCTGACCGTCGTGACTGGGCCATGTGACCACTCCGGTGACGGGTACCTCCAATACTTTACTCAAAGTTAAGTCAAAGATCAGCTCGCCGTACTGAACTTTAACTTAACTAGTCTAGGCTCTTTACTCAAAGTGAAGTCACTGCACGGTTGCGGCCTCCGCCGGCGGCGCCGGGCCCGCCGGGAGCACTGACACGGTACACCGTACTTTGCCCGGGCCTCCGACGGGCCTCGGTGTGACTCCTGAGCAGTGGCCGCCCGGAGCCCGGCGCTCGGAGGCTCAGCGGCTGGCAACCTGACGGACTCCGTTGTAACAAGACCGTTTCAAGTTTCCTGAAACACATAAGTCGTCTTGGTTTACTGGCAGGAGAGTTTTTGCCAAGTTAACTCGGCGGCTATCTGCCATGCCAGGCTGGCGTCAGAAAGTCACACAGTGACAACTTGAACATGATGAGAATGTCAGCAGAGTTCCAAGTCAAGATATGATAAGCCTGACCGTCTGCGTCAAGTTCACAGTTATGCTGAACAGTGGGCAATAACCATTCATTCTGTAGGATTTCGCCCAGGAAAAACCAAGGAAAAGTGGCTTTTTGTCAGTTCTCGATCTCCCAGTACCGGTTATGACTAATGACCCGGTGGTTTCCCCTGAATATGGGGGTGGTGGTACCTGGATTGTTTGAGAGGGGTCGTTGAATTAGTTTTTAATACAGCGTGTTTTTGTTCAAATATCTCATAGCTATTTTTGTATGAGTCAGTTAGACATTTGTATTATTTTCGTTTTATTTATTTTTATATATATAAACACATACATGATGTTTACATATTGTTACCAGGAACTTCCAATCCCGTACAGAATGTCACAACATACCGGTACTGCTTACCCCAAAATCTAAGTGGGGTGGGTGGAAATCGTCCCACCGCAGCCAAAGAGGATTCATGTTTGGAATGGCATCATTCTACCACAGAGCATGAGATTGTGATGATTGAGCAGGGTCTCTCGAGATCCCAAGCATTCTCTTTCTACAAGCAACACTGCATGGCAAGCAAGGATGCGAATTTCACCGTCAATGGGGCTTTGGCATGTTACATGCGGGGAGCAACACAACACAAGGCGTTGTCGTCATGTGTTTGTCTAGGATAAATCGTATCCTCCTCATGTTTGGAAAGTTTTGAATAGCCTTGAAGATTTTCCTGCAGATGAGCCGCCCAGTCATATTTACCTTCTCAACCCCTATGAAGCACATTCTGAGGTTTACACAGGATTTCTGTCAGAACCTGCAACAGTTAACATGGACACATGCAAACGTATGAAGAAGCATGGACACATGTAAATGTATGAAGAGGATGTTGCTTCTTCGAAGATGGTATGGAAAGACTCATGACAATGAAGAAAGTTTGGGCCAGGAAAAATTTGAGGAAATTTCCCAAATGCGTTAAGCTTTCCTCATAGCTGCATTGTACCATCAATCAGATGTAGGTAGCCTCATTTTAAATGTTCTAGGCAGGTGCGAAGCGGATGTTCTCCTATAAAATTTATGGTCTACGATGCTGATTCATGCAACACTTGTGATTTTCTGATCGTAATAATCAGATTGTCAGAGTGTGTTTCCATGTGTTAGATAACCTTCTCCACTCAATATGGTAGATTGAATTTGAGCTTAGTGATAGTTTACTAAACCAAAGTTGAGGGTCCTCTCAAATAAAGCTTGGTTTAACATCTCTGCGTCTGAGCAGCAAGTGTGCTGCTTTTCGCTGCAAGTCAGATGTCAAGCTTTGCATCAACAATAATTTTCTGCGACAGAGCAATTATTCATTTGAATCTAGGAATATATATGTCAAAATCAAGCCTGCATGCTTTTCTTGCTGGAATTCTATCTGAAAGTCTCTTGAGAAGCTAGTCATCTCTGCAGAGTATCTGTGAACTCTCCAGCGCGCAGTGTTGTAACAAGGGAAGTGAAACACGGGAGATTATCCGTTTGAATGCTCTCACAACGATCATTGGGCTGCATGGCTTCCAGATATCTGCGATACCTTCTGTGTCATTGTCTCTCTCAACTGCTTCTCATCCAATGGTCCACATCAGCAAAGGACAAGGAGGCAGCAAAATAAAATATTTTGGAGGAAAACTCTCATTGAAAAACTCAAAGCACATGTGTAAGCTTCCGAATCACACATCCGTCGCAAGCCTTCAAGCACACATGCATGTTGGGCTTCTGATTCACCTGTGTCATTGTCGCTCTCAACTGCTTCTCATCCAATGGTCCACATCAGCAGATGGTTTGCATCGATGCCAGCATCAGGGAAGGGGTAAAGGACAAGGAGGCAGCAAAATAAATTATTTTTCATTTTGTACTGTTATCGACATATAAAAATTATTCTAAGGAACATTTCAAATCAATTTCGTAAGGTCTCAAATTACCTGGTACAAATAACTGAAATCACTAAACCACCCCTCGATTCCCAGGGACTACCCTACAAGATACCGTATATACCTACCTGCCCAAAATCCTACAGAATGATTCAATTATTCAAGGATTGTCCATTCTGAAGAAGATTTTCATGCAGGGCTGTTAGATGTGCAGTACAGAGATAAGGGAGATGCATATCGAGCGGATGCAATGAAGAGAGATAGAGGATAAGATAAGAGAGTCTGAGGAGAGAGAAGATAAGAGAGAACAAGAGAGAAGTTTGCTCGCCAGCATTTGAAGACCAAAAGATAAATTTTGAACCGTAAAGAACTTGTGACCAGAGATTGCTGCAGCGAGATTGGAACATCCGTTTCAAGGCATTTGAAGATTGTTGTGCAGTTGTACCCTGTTCGCCGATCCAGAAGTAGCTCCAGTTATGCATGCCACAGCCTAGCTCCGCATCAGTGACATGAAACTTCCGCCAGATCTCCTGGGAGTTCCACTGATTTGATCCCACTCAAAGATCAAGAAAATAAGAACTACTAGCCTCGAATTAGCTCCAAGTGTGTTTTCCGGCAACATGTCCGGTCCACTGAGTTAAGCAGATATTCGACCGAGCAATCTGGCTGGGAAACTTGCTTGTCAGAGTCAAGTTTTCCTATTCGAAGATCAATCAAACCATTGAAATGAAAGTTGTGGCTGAGATGAGAAGCCCGGTAAACAACTTGCGGCTAGAGAGGGAGTCTGATTGAAGAGAAGAGTACGGTCATCCGAATAGTAAGGCTTGATAGAATTGCATCATCGGAATTTTCAACAGCAACGCCGGACTCTCGGCGGTCCGGCGGGCGGCGGACTTGGCATTGACTGAACTCACTGCAGAGCCTCGGAGCAAGGCGCCGCCGGGCCTCCGAGGGAAGCGGTTGGACGCTGGGTTTGGCGCGGCGCGGGCCGGGGGGCCTGGGCCTGCGGCCCGGCGCGGCCCGGGCCGGCGCCGGCCTGGGCCGCATCATTACGGCGGCCACGGACAAGTTCCGAGTTCGGGTTCCCTTGCCAAACTGTCGCAAAGTAAAGTATGCCGGGAGACGCATCGCCATGGCTGCAGGCTGGCGAGCACAGGAAGTGGACACGCATGGGGAGTCGAGGACTTGGTCGCATGTCCCTCGTCCTTGCCATCTTCTCTGCACTTCCATCTAATTTCGTGCTCTGTCGAGCCTTGTTGGAACGACAAGAGTGCCCGAGCGGGAGATACCAATACGATTTTCAGTGGAGGGGTGAAAGAATGAAGGTGAGTGAAACTCGACGACGCTCTTCAAACTCCTTGATTGTCTTCATGATACTCATTCACCACAACCGCAGATGCTGCATGCGACCGGCTATATCCATGCCCGTCTGACTCAGAGGTCTGGTGCCTTGCTCATTTGTATGCCGCTGAGACATGGATTTTCCTGCGAAAAAGCTTCCAAGGTCATACTGGGCCGAGAAGTTCTCGATGTCAGCAGAGCAGAAAGAGCAATCTAGGTGATGCGAACTGATGTTTCTCTTCTAAGTACACTCAAACGCTAACTTGTGTGAGAAGTGATGCATCGGAATGATTGGGTTCCGCCCGGGAGGACGATTGCAGGCGATGACCTGCTCAGGTGACTTGATTGTTTCTTCATCTAACTTGATCAGCTCACTTGTCTCCATATCCGCAGACTTGAAAAGAGCGTGGGAAAGGAAAACACGGTGAATGCTGTGAGCGTTGCTGCAAGGTCTGATGATGGTCAGTGTGTCGAGCTGTAAAGCAGGGAACTCATGTCTATGCAAACAGGCAGACCAACTGTAATCCTCTGTTATCCTCTCATCCCGTCGAGGAGGACGAATGTGGGATTCGAACCCTTCCCGACATTGTGAGTCCCACGGAAGCGGTGGTGCACCGGGAGCGTCCCCTCCCCACCGTCAATCTCCCCTACCTCACTCCCGTAAGTGGAGGAGGCGCAGTCGTCTTAGAGAAGTCGCAGGTTCTGGATGAGTCATGATGAGATCCGAGCGAGTATCACAGATCTGGAGTACAAGGGATTGATCCAGGTGAGCTCATCAGCTCCTTGCCTGTCCTTCCCGGCCAGCTTGAAATGGCTCATCACCGGCCACGTCAGAAGTTCAGAGAGCGGCTTCTCGAGGACAGAAAAGCTTTCTTGCAGATGGAGGAAGCGCACAGGTGCGAATTTCAATTCCCCTTTGCGGAGAGGGGTACATGGATTCAGTTCGGACATGCAGGCGGTATGCTGCATCGCGATGGAACGTCCTTGTGGTTCGTGGAAGAGGAGCCCACTGATGCGTTCTGATTCTGAATATCTCAATCCCATTGATCCTTAACTTTCCCGACACCAACCACATGACGAGCTGCATTATCCCCATTATCATAATCATCAGTTTCGTCATCATGACTATCATAATGCTTCTCACAATCCGTTCTGTTGCTTTTATTTTTGTCCCCTGTTTGTCTCTCTCACATCTCTAGCACCTTTCTTCGATGCTGTTTGATAGAATCTGACCTGCTGGTAGGACAACCATCAAGATCTTGTTATCTCACAGGGTTGGCAGAGCAAGCTAAGGGACTCAGGCGTTGGTGTCAACCAATAACTTTGTGGTATCATTTCTAATTATGATACAGGTGGATTAATGACCAACACAGTGAAATGTCTGCACATACATGTGGCACATTTCTTAGTCGACGACATCAATATCATTGGGAAATGGACAACAGAAGCAATCCGACAACAAAACATGATTCATCAATAGAACGTTTCAAATTCAATAAGGTTTATTCAATGCTCAGAATTTACGAGCGGTTGTAGAAGTAGTCCCAGTGGTTGCGAGCGCGGACCCAGTCGTCGTAGGCAGCGGCATCGTTAGCCTTGTAGTAGGTGTCAGCAGAGGCGTTGTAGAGCTGACGGGCCTGGGCGTTCTGGCCGGCGGCCTTGGCGTAGAGGGCAGCAGCGGTCTGGCCGTAGAGGGTCTGGAACATCTGAGCTAAATGTCAAAAAACTGAAATAGCATATCATATATGTGCACAGAAAATGAACAACAAAAAAAACAGCCCAACAGGACTTAAGCACATGACACATTGAAGGTTCATAAACCATCCAAATGATTCAATGTTATGCTCCACATGCATCATTCATCAACGTCCTCTTCCCCTCATGCGTAACGTCAACTGTATGCTCACCTCGTCTGCCGCGCCTCTTCGCCCGGCCCCTTTAAATAGGCTCCAAAGGCCATCCCACCCCACCCCCAAAACTCCATTGACTACCTCATCAATACCAACCAACCACCCCCCTCCGAATGTCTCACTTTTGACCCTTCGAGAATCTAAATCAGGTCCTGGCACCCCCACCCCCTCCTTTCCCGTACAACGATGGGAAATCAATGGTGGTGCTCCAAAGATCAATGAGCAGATTTCAAAAATTATTTCGAGACATGAAGCTCTTTAACCCCCTGTTCTACCGCAGACTTGCCTTGAGTGGGTGGGTACGAGTTTTCAAGCCGCACAGAAATTCCATCTTTCGAGGTAAAAAAAACGAAACACTGCCGAAATGTGGGTAGGGTGCATACCCTACCCACAAATTGCCCTCAATCTCACAACAAATGTGTGGGTGTTCTCCCTGTGGGTGGTCACTTGAGGGTGGGTTGAGGGGTCCTGTTCTATTTTGAGAGAAGAGATTCATCATGAAAATCCTGTGAAGCTCAACTCGATTTTAAAGTTTGAAGTTTGAAGTTTGAAGTTTGAAGTTTGAAGTTTGAAGTTTGAAGTTTGAAGTTTGAAGTTTGAAGTTTGAAGTTTGAAGTTTGAAGTTTGAAGTTTGCGTTTGAAACTTTCTTGTGATGTTCCTTTTGGAAACTTTCAAACTTTGGGTTGTGAGATTCCTGCAATGGTTCATGTCTTCCCACTGCTGCCGATGGTTGTGCAGCCGATGCGTGAAGGGAAGATGAGAGCCAAGGAGCAAGACAACGATCTGACATGAAAAGATGTGACCGAATCCTCTGCTCCATGTACCTCTTCCTTTAGCCTTCCTGTCCTTGTTGCTTCCTCCTCCTGCATCTTGAGGCACGCATCAAATCATTTTTGTTTTCCTATCGCCTCTGCAGATTTGCGTCTTAGCGGAGCCAGAAAGTTTATCTTACGCCGGATAGTGAGACATGTTCGTTGTGTCTGTGACTTAGTGTGTCGAACTGTTATGCTTGACAGACAAATACTTTTTGCAGACAAATGTTTTCAAATTTGACATAGGCTACTCTGCTGTCCTGTTTCTTGGAAACAGCAGCTCTTGGATTGTTGTGCAGAGTGAGGAACCAAAACCTTGCGTACCTGTCTATCACTCTCGCTCAAACGGCTGCCTCAATAGATTTGAAACCTATCCTTGACGTGACTGGATCGCATTTTCCGACAGGAGCATCGCGAAGCTTCAAGATGTCTATTCATGGCAAGCCACCTCCAGATACTGAATGTGAGTAGATTGGTTGTCCTTCATCGCTGTTCTGCATCATCTCATGACATTGTTTGAAGGCATGTGCTCGTTCGAAGAGATCAACGAATCGAACTTCGTGGAGTAAGCCTTTTACCTATTTTTGGATCTACTTGACGATTGTTATCTGTATCAGATATCAAACTGCTCCCAGTGAAACCTGGCATCCTGCAAAGTTCTCGGAGCCGATAGTGAGCTAGAAGAGTTGAAGACAGTGTTGAACAATGTGACAGGTCCGGGAGATGTTGGAGACGTGAGACCTGACAACCATGAACCAAAGTTTGATGTTTTGCTCAACCCAATTTGCAGGTCTTTTCAACGATACTTGGATGACGTTGAGAAGGTTTTTTTCTTTCATTTCATAAACGATGCGATTGGTGTGATGGTCCTTGTCAGGCTGCTAGGGATTGTGCGGCAGCTGTGCGCCGGCTTGTCTCAAAGGAAAGCTTTGCATGCAACGCTGACAGGCTTTGACATCGTTTACCAGGGACCTCCCATATGGTTGGAAGACAAGCATGCCTTCCCCGTATGCTCTCCTTGTTTCCCTCCGCAACTTGTAACCTTATATGGTCGCCCAGCTACCAGACGAAGACACGCACGTGGTGCGCGTGTGGTTCTGTAGCACCAACACGGAAGAATCGGCGAGGTTGAAGGTTATCCTCCTCCTCCTCCACCACCACCACCACCACCACCTC